CTCAAAATACCATGGAACATACTAAATAGCTCAATGAAGTTCAAGAAAGTTAAAATGTCGAAATGATTTTGGCAGTGAAAACTATTTCTAAATGTCTTAGAAAACACCTTTCCCCCTCAAAGTTCGCATTTCTGCAACACCCAACATTGAGAAAGATTCCAACTATCAATTTTTGGATTACAGAAAGTAAATGTGGACAGTCTTGAATAATAGCCTCAGTTTTATCTGCAAATGCTGATGGCTTATGAATAGATTTGTCTGAGGAGTGAATAGAATGGGACTTTAGGCACTCAAGTTAAGGGTAAAAGACTGATACAGCAACATTTGATCCCAAGCTTGTCAATACATTTTTGCATTTATACAAAATTGATAATGTGGCTTTCTACAGGTGCAAGAATGGAGACAGAAAGCCCTCTCTTCCGAAGCCAAGGCAAATGAGCTACAAAGTCAAGTAGCTGTGCTTCAAGTGGAGCTCGAGAGGTTGAGGAAGGAAAGAGTTGAAGAGACATCAAGGTCTAAAAACTTACCATCAGTTTCTTTGGAGGCTCCAAATGAGACTCAGAAGCGAGTATTAGTTTGTCGTTTGAAGGAAAACCGTAATACCAATGATGATTGTCGCCAGAAGAAGGCCTTTAGTGATGGCAGCCGAAAGCCTCACGCCCGTGCCGGTGGACTTAATGCTCCAAAACGGTCGCTTCTTAGAGATATTGGAAATTCGTCTCCTTTGGCGAGACAAAATAGAAGACCAGTTTTCCCTTTGCACTACCCTGTGCAGGAAAACTTCAAATTCTGAAAATTCATCAAATTCCCCCCTTTCCCCTATCTAAATACATTGACTGTGAGAGAGCCAAACTTCAAATGTTTCTCCCTAGAGAACAAGTCCATGTTTAGTTTGCGGGGGATCCAAGAATTACCATTGCAGTTCTTTTCGGTCTTGACACAAGTTTTCTACCTTACGGAATGTGCATCAACCTGTGTACTTGTGAAACAAAAACAAAGTAGAAGCTTTTAACGAGACAGACAATGCAGGATTCTAATAGCTCTAGGATGCCATTGCAAATGACAAGAAGACAAACAAGAATCAGGAGCGTTTCATCAACATCGGTTGAAAAAACTATGTGAAGAATTCGTGGCATGAGATGCATTAAACACTGTTACAATAAAGAAACGGAGATGCATCACTGATCAAACGTTTCAAATGCACTAATCCTTCTCATTGTTTTTTGCCCAACAGGTGATCCATGATAGACTAGATAATCGTAACTCGCAGGAGAATCGTTTAGATAGAGACGGGTTAAGAAGACTGGGGCCGGGATAGAGCGAGCCAGTTGTAAACAGATTTTGAGTTTCCCTCTGTTGGGACTGCTATCCTGTTCTTATGTAGTATATACCTGTTCTTTTATCAACTTCAAAAGAAATCCTCTTCATGGCATGGCCTTCCGTTGATTGCCGAAAAGTGATGATTCCGTTCATGTAGAGGAGAACGGAAACAAGCAAAATATATATATGCTAAAATGGTTGCTGCAGAATGTTGGGCTCTTGGAGTCACAATAATATGGTGTAGCAATTGTGCGGGCAGATTAAAAAACATAAGTTTTGGTTGTGGTTCAAACAGAACAAAGCTAAATTATACATCTGATCATGCGCCACATGTTTATTCATATACTTCAGAATGTTGAAACGCATACCAATAAGAAAAATAGCGAAAAATATCGCTAGCTACTAAGGAGTCTTCACTGAATCCTTAAAACTAGAAAATTCATCATCAAACCTGAACAGATGTTAGTTAGGAGAGAAAAGGCAGATGAGATTCTACCTAAACGTAAAACACACTAAGGTAGCTGCTGGGGAAGTTTGGGGACTTTGGTCTCAACAGTCGTTGCTGATGTTGACAGATAGACCGGTGCTTGCAGGAGAAGGATTGATTCGGAGATTCTCAGCTGGGAGGTTAGTGATGGTCTGAGGATTATCTTCCGTGCTACCATACAAATTAAATGTTTCAGCTAGATCAAATTGAAGGATGGGAGGATTCCATATTTCTTCTGGTAACCCTTTTGAAAAGTCGGAACTCAGAAGCATGGGGACAGGATCTTCGAAAGTCTCTGGTAAAAATGGGACCTGGGCTGCAGAGTAACTGTTGCAGAATAAAAATAAGTCATCAAATCCAGCTAAAGGAGGAGTAGCCTGTTGCTGCCATGGATTTTCCCATGAATCAGTACCACTGTTGCGGTCACCATCCATAGCAGCCTGATCACTTGGACCAATAAGGAGCTGGTATTTCGGTGTAGAATATTGCTCTTGATTTTTGACAGGCTTCTCAATTTTCTTGTAAATCCTACACAAAACCCATTCATCGAGCTGCACCAAGAAAAAAATTGGTTACTAATCATGTTAAGAAAGAATTAAAAGCAAATGCTAGCTGTTGATCAATTAAAAATTAGAGCTGGATTTTGAATATCCATATACCCTCATGTCATTAATGTTATTTCTGATCGGAGGAGCTGCAGCTTCCATTCTAAATTCATGCATCATCCAGTTGGTTTTATCACCCTTAGGGGCCTTTCCATTATAATAAACCAGTGACTTCCTATATCCAACAATAGCCTTATCGTGTACGATTTTCTTATCAGCTCCAGTGGCTTTCCAGTATCCGCCGCCTGCTGCTCGATTCGGCCTAGTTCCATTTCTGTACTTCTTGTCCCTTGGTGTAAAAAAATACCATTCCCTTTCTCCATAGTGCTTAAATTGCTCTATCATCGATAAAAGTTAAAAACAACAAACTTAATTTGTAGTCATAAATCCATTAATGCTTATACATAAAACTACAAGAACAAAGTTGATTAAAAAGAAATCTCATTTACATACTTTAAATTAACAAAAAGAAAACTTGTAATCTGTAACTAACAAGATGGTCATAAATCATATTAAATTCAATGAAACAGTATCTTATCAAAATTAAAAGAAAAGAACCTGCAAGCTCCTCGGGATTATGTTGATAAAGTGAAACATCAACAATCCTGTTCCTAGGCAATGGCAGCCCACTGACCTTATTCTTCAAGTAATGCAAAACCAGCTCATGGTTATGAGGGCAAAACCTATAACCGGCTGGAAAATTATTGAAATAGCTGTCACCATCATCATCATTATCATCTGGATTTATCACATGATCATGACCAGCAATTCTTGGTGATGGTGGTGAAGAATTTACAGAAGATTGTGTGCTTGGTGATGGCTTGAAGGGCTCTGAAAGACTGTTTGAAACCCCTGAAGTGGTAGCGGAAACCTGTACGTTCGGCTTTGATTCCTCAGTAAACTTCATAGTAGGACGCTTGAAAGCAATGTCTCCTTGGCAGGACATTCGAGTCGAGAGTTTTATGAATATGAGCTGCAAAAGGACACTAACACACATATGCTAGTGATTCAGAGTTCGCAATTTTTTTTTTAACTGCAGATATATTTGAAATTTGATATCTTAACTATACACATACTTAATAATTTAATCTTTTAAATAAAATTATCTTTAGTTTTTTTATAACTAAAATCTTATCTTTATTTTTAATATCTATCTAATATGTAATTATCTTTTAAATGAAATTTCTCTTGTTTTTCAATGCCTATCTCTATGCTTTTCAAAATATATAAGATATACTTCGGAAGATTTAAGTACAATCTCACGAACAAATTGTAAATGAACATTTCAAAATTTACTCTCATCTGAGATTTGAAATCGGATTTGAATTCAATTCTTTTTGATAATTTCAAAGACATTTGAAGTTAATCCAGAAATTTTTATGATCTCTGTTAGTTATTAGGGATTATTTTGAAAAAAAAAACATATACAAAAAAAAACTCATAATTCAGTGATAATAATAATAATAATAATAATATCTATTCATATACAAAAAAAAAACTCATAATCCAGTGATAATAATAATAATAATAATATCTATTCTTAGAATTTTACTCTTCTAAGATTATCCTTTGTTTTAGGAATTATATCAATATTTTAGTCTCTTTCTCAAGTAGAAATAGCTAGGGTTGAATTTACTATTGATAAATATTTTATATTTACAAAGAAAAATGGAAAATATTTTATATTTACAAAAATTATCTTATCATAGATTTCTTGTATAATAAAATAATCTTCCATGTAGACTTCTTGTATAACAAAATAACTTATAATGTATAAAAAATTTCTTTCTGCCGAGATGATAACATTCTACAAAGTTAATAAATTGATTAACTCTTTTAATACTCTAGTTTCGGCTGAAATATATTGAAAGCTCAAATAATAATAATAATAAAAAAAAAAACAGACGGATGCGAGTTCTATTTGAGTCGGGTGAGCTTTACAACTCATCATTTTGGACTCATATGTTCCACATGCTGAATTTCAAGTATTAAGAAATGAGTCTGTACCCACATGGTATAAACCCTAGAACCCACATTTGCTCAAGTCATATTATTAAGCCAAAGCTCGAAGAAGACAGGACAAGAAAAACTTGTATTCCTGGGTTCTAGTTCAAAACCCATGTACATTACACGTACAGGGATAATCATGTAAAGAACAAACATCGAAAACGTCATGCATGCAAGACTTGATTGTGATAATCATACGGTGAACATGCACAAGTAGATCACTAACTTGCAAACACGATCATCGCAGAACGTTCTCCGTTAATCCTGATGGTAAGCACTCAAAATATAAAGTGAAATATTAAATGATGCTGCAAAACCATGCCACCAAATTACTAGAAAGGAAAAAATAGAAAGTAATGATCTTGTTAACAATGCGCCAAAACCATGTCACTAAATTTCTAAAACTAGAAAATCTGTAAAAAAATATAATATATATCTTAACTATTAGCTAGAATATTGTCTATTCACTAAATTCTAAAATCCTAGAAGATCCATAAGCAAAGCTAGTACATACGCTGTCTATATGACAGCTGATGACAGTCATTCTTGAAATCCACTAGAAACCCACCTCCGAACACTAATTATCGTAAGTGCTGAGGAGGCTGTCTTGGAGGTTTGGCACCAACATCCGTCAGTGTCGTTGGCTGACTATTTGCAGGATTTGTGGGAGGATGGCGCCTGGTAAGAAAAGGAGTATTTGTGGGAGGGAGGCAGCCAGCAGGATGAGCAGTGTTTATAGGAGGAAGGCTGCCAGCTGGAGGAGCGGTATTCATGTAAGGAAGGCCGTGAGAAGGACGAGCAGTATTTGTGGGACGAAGGTTGACAAGAGGAGCAGGATTTCCTGGAAGAAAAGTTGGCTTGACAGAATAGCGGTCAAAAGATTGGCCGGGAATGTTAACCTGAGACCAGTTCGTATGATTCAGAAACTCTTCGAGGTATCCCCTTTGCCTGTATGGCCAGTTGTCAGGATTAACGGGGAAAACTGGGGCAGGATTTCCAAATGTCTCAGCCAAATTGGGGACCTGTGTATCTGGCAACGTCCTGCTATGGTGAGCAGGAGCTGGAAAAAAGTTGATAACATCTGAGTATCCTCTCAGAGCAGTCGGTTGTTGACTTAACTCATTAAATACTGGGAAAGCATTCTCTAAAGAACCGGTACCCATGTCGTAAATCTCCCCAGCATAGTCAGCGCCCATAGCAGCCAGCTCATTTGAATTATGATCATGGAGATAATCTTCATCAATATCATCCATTGACCCTGAAGAATGTTCCTCATTCCTTTGTTCATTTATGACATTAGTAAATTCCTCATTCCTTTGTCCATTTCTGATATTATTACGCTTCTCCTGTTTCTTGTAAATCCTGCACAGAACCCAGTCATCCAGCTGCAACAAAACAAACAAATTTGGTTACTACTCGTGTTAAGAATTGAATTAAAACAAAATTGTTATACCAATTGGAGAGAAATAGATGAATAATCATATTGTACCCTCATGTCATCTCTATGATTTCTGACTTGAGGAAGTGGATTATTCACTCTAAACTCGTGCATTATCCAGTTGGTTTTGTCACCCTTTGGAGCCTTCCCGGTGTAATAAACGAGTGCCTTTCTATATCCAACAACAGCTTCATCATGTATGATGTTCTTATCAGCTCCAGTGGCTTTCCAATATCCACCATTGGCAGCTCGATTAGGTCTACTTCCATTCTTGTACTTTCTGTCCCGAGGTGTGAAGAAGTACCATTCTTTTTCCCCAAATTTCTTGTATCTATCTGTTAACAAATAAACACAAAATTTATATGATCATGCAAGTATTGTTGCTTTGTTTACTGGAATGCTATGTGTTAACAAATAAAGTAAAACGAATAATCAAAAGAAATGACAACATCAATATCTCAGCAAAAGGGTTTGTATCAAAAATCTTAACCAAAAGACAAGAAAAGGGTTTGTATCAAAAACCTGCAAGATACTCGGGATCGTATTGGTAGAGAATAACATCTACAATTTTGTTCCGAGGCAATGGCAAACCTTTAACCTTATTGGTCAAGTAATGTATCACCAGCTCATGATCATGCGGGCAAAACCTATATCCAGGTGGGAAACTATTGAAATAATGATCGTCATCGCGGTCATTAGGGAATCTGGGTGGCGGCGGCGGCACTGCTGCTGCTGCTAATGTAAGCGTAGAAGGTGACTGTAGTGCTAGTGATGGTGAAGCAGTGGCAGAAGGTGGCTGCGGTACTGGTGCTCGTGGAGGAGGCAATGAGGTTGAATTGATCAGGATTTGGGGCGGTGATACAGAGGAATTTGAAGTGATGTTTGGTGTTATTGTAGTGGTGAGAGAATGCTCTACGTTCGGCATTGATTCCTCGGTAAACTCCATGGTAGGACTCTCTGAAGAATTTTCTTCTAAAGACGCCATTATTCTCCAAGACGTTAACAATATTAACTCTTAAAATCGATTTTGTTATGTTTTGTAGTTGCAAAGGGAAATTAACAACATTATATATATATTAGAGATATATTTGAAAATTAATATTCCGCAATCTTAGCAACTTGATAAACCCTATCTTTATATGGATTTTATCTTTTATATATATATATATCCTAACTGAATTTGTTTACTATATTCCTTCGCTATATATATATATATATATATATATATCCTAACTGAATTGTTTTCTATATTCCTTCGCTATTTAAAATTCTGTTCTTGGAGAAATACCGTGTGTATGGAATTTTGTATACTGTTATTCAAGTTAAAATCAACAACCAAAGACAAAAAGCATAGCCTCCGATTAAAATTAAAATATTTTCAAATTAACTAGTTTTTTTGTTATTTCCAAAAATGGAGATATAAAAGGCCCACATGGAAAAAAAATTGCTTCTCACACCTCCATGCATGTCACGACCCGAATCCCGGATCCATGACCGGCACATAGGCAAGGTTCCCCTTCAAGATTCCATACCTATGCGAACCCAAACTTACACACAAACTTATCCTAACTCAATCAGAGTTCAACACAACATTAATAACAAAATCAACTTCATAATATAATTGAATTGTCTTAATACAAGAGTTAATATAATTTTATAGTTTTGGAGCACTAATTAGACATAAAGGAAAATGCACGGATTACAACCAAAAGAGCAGGTTCTGAAGGTCCAACAAAAGTGACCTGCTATCAAGCTATAAGCCTGAAAATGATAAATAATGAGAGTGTGAGTTTAACAACTCAGTGAGTAGATAATGTTCAATATACACACACGAAATAATACAATAATGAGAAATATATATACAAGTATGGATTTAGGTTCTTATAAAAAA